TTAGACTATGTTTGAATGAGTACATAAATCTCATGGAAACCATTTGTATATATCCACACTTAATTCAACTAAAAAGGTGTGCAAATATTATTATGATAACCAAAACACTAGCCTTAGAATTTTACGTGAAATTAAAACAATGAATTCCAAATTCAAACAAAATTAATAAAATTTGGAGTGGATTGTTCCAATGCCACATAAATTCTGACATGACTTGTATCACTTTTAAAATATACAAATGAATTTTATATTTTTAAATTTGTTCCAAAAGTAGTTTTATATTTTATTCATGCCTTCAAGTACTTGAACATCGATTTTAACTCATGATTCTAGGTGCTGAAATAACCAAACAAACATTTGATAGAGACAGCAAAAAGATCACATCAGCTCAAGGAAAAGCCAAGCCATGCATGAGCGAGGCTCCAAACGTCCAGTTCAACATTGAAGAAATATTTATACCCGTAACTCCCTCCCCTCCCCAACTAAACAAAGAAAAGAAGAGAAAAAAAAAAAAAAGAGAAAGAAAAGATACAGCAGTTTCTTCTGTTCTATTTTCATACTCTTTAGTATCCATTTAAGGCGGAGGAAGAGGAGCTAGGAAAGGGAATAAGGGTGATTTGATCCTCACTATGTATTATTAATCTCTCTCCAAGTCATTTTCATCCAATACACTTAACCTAATAAATGTTTCATTATAAAATCAAATACCTTTCCCCCTCCTAAATCTATCCCTAAGGTCATGCTACAGAGACCTAATTCAAGGAGACAATTAATTCTAAGATGCAAGTTACAGGCACTCTGACGAGTATGCTCAACACAGTACAAGCATGGGAGACAGTCAAGAACCTGTAAATTGCCATCATGTCAACTCTACTAGATTCGGCTTGAGTAGTTGCTGTGGGGTTTATTCTATCATCTATAAAACTATCATCATATGAATTGTTTCCCTGGTCGGCTTCCTCATCTTCAGATGTTCCAGCTTCTGAAGAGACCCTGAGCATAAACAATAGGAAATAAGCCAGGATTTGGGACATTATAATATGACACACTTTAAAAAACCCAACCCTGCATATTTGTATTTTCATATGTATATCATATTGCATCATGAACTTTCAACTATTTACAACATACACCTTATAATATGTTATTATATGAAACTAAGACTTTCGTAAAAAAATTTGTTTGTTTTAACCTCTGTATGAATGTCATGTATTAGAAAAATGAAAAATGAGATATTAGTAGGCTATTTTTGTCAATAAATTATTTATAATTCTTAAAATTTATTAAAAATAAAAATCAAATATACTTATTAATTCCCTAATTTGCATTTCTCTTATTTCTCACAATTTCTGCTTTTCCCATAATAGCAGCTTTTCTTCAGGAACTTTCTCTTCCTCTATTTTTAAATTGCAATCGACGCGCCAAAGTGAGATTGAACTTGCTGTGGCTTAGAGCAGTAAGAAGCCAAAGAGCTTGGTGTGGCTCAGAGGAGCAACAAAGCCAAAGAAACTGCTTCATAGTCACAGTGGAGATATCGAAGTTGTTAGAGATGGTATGATGTTGAAATGGATGGTAGAGGGAGGAGATATGAGGATCAAAACCACCCAATTGTGCCATTTTTAATAAAAAAACCTATTGATGGTGGAGTTTTCCTTTTTTTTTTGAGTTCTTTCTCTTTCCATGCTTGCAAAGACAAAGGAGATGATTTGTAAATCCAAAAAGAAATACAGAGTTGTTAGTGAACTAAGTAACAGATACATTGAATTTCATTTCAATATCATGAAGTCTCCACTCTTATTTGGTCAATAATGAGGAAGAAGAAGAGGAAAGGTTGCTGCAATAGGAAAAGAAGAACTGGTGAATTAGGGATTTAAGAATTATGTTTTAGTTTTTCTATTAATTTTTTAAATTGTTAAGAATTTATGGACACAATAACCCTTAGAAACTTTCCATTTTTCCATAATGCTACATGTATAGAGGTTAAGACTAATAGAAAATTCAAAGCGAAGTGTTAATTTGACATAATGACATGGTATGTGGTGCAAATTGCAACAATAGAAAGTACAATAGGTAATTTGATACCAATGCCTAAATGGAAGGGT